AATCTTATTCTTGGTTTGTGAGTGTAGCTTGTGAAAAGCTCCACTTGGTTTGAGAGATCAATATGCTAAAATCTCTCAATCGATTTAATAAGGTTCTTGGGCATAATCTGGTAAAATCTCAAAAAATATTCAACGAAACTCTTAAGAAGTTTTCCTTGAAGAGAGAAGAAGGCTAGGAGATTGGTTAAACCTCTATAAATCCAGGTGCATTATGTCTTGACTTTCTCTATTTACTTTTCTTTACATTTTCATCTTTCCATCTTTTGCTTCTATTATATATATTTTAAACTTTACTAACATAAATTGTTGTTTTTTTAGTAATAAATTTTAATTCAATCACAATTTTTTAATACTATAATTAACCCTCTTATTGTGTTTGGAGTCACTTGTTCAACATAATCATCTTCATTTGAGGAAAGTAGAAACTAAACATAATCACCATTGCCCCCTTTCAGGATAATCCTTTTTAAATTGACCAGTTTTAAGACAAATAAAGAATTTAAACCTTGACTTATCAAAACTCTTGAATGTGGACTTCCATCTACTCTTACTTTTTGTTTTTGAAACACTATAGATATCACCATTCTCGTTAACCTTCAAATCTTTCATCATTGAAAGCTCATTGGACCTTATATTCGTTTGCACTTCAATTAGGGTGATAGTGCATTCATTACCATAATGAAAGATATCCTTGAAGTTCATAAAGGATAAGGGTTATGAGATTAATAATAGAAGAGTATTGTCCTCGTCATTAATCATCACATCAATATTCTCCAACACATAATGATCTTGTAAAATCATGTCAGTTACTCCACAATGGATTAGATTTGTTATGTATCATTTAGAATGAGTATATTTGTCATTTCATACACAACCCTTGAGTCAAGGACTTTGTCATATACAATTATTCATGTTTGACCCTCATCGAAGTTGTTGTCTTCTCCCTGACAACTTCTCTTGCAAATTTATCTTTGAGGCATAAAGATAATGGAACTTTTGTATACATCATCTCAATCTTGCCTACTTGTGTTAGGCGTGGAGACATCAATGTTCTGTCTTTCAATATTTTTGCACACTTTTGTTGAGTTAAGATTATTTGCATATTCAGTATCCACGATTCAACGTCGTTATCTGCAAAAAATTTCTCTATATTCTCTTTAGAATTCATGGTATTCGCTTGTAAACTTAATCATTTAGCCCCACAGTGAATGTCAGTTGTTGTGAAATAAAATAATATTTGACCATACCAGTATCTTTTGATGTTTGAGACAAATAACAGTGACGACCAAAATAAATTATCTCAAACAAAATTAAGAATATGTCAAACATTGTAAGCAAATTCAATCAAAACAATATACTTCAGAGAGAGAGAGAGAGAGAGAGAGAGAGAGAGAGAGAGAGAGAGAGAGAGAGAGAGAGAGAGAGAGAGAGAGAGAGAGAGAGAGAGAGAGAGAGAGAGAGAGAGAGAGAGAGAGAGAGAGAGAGAGAGAGAGAGAGAGAGAGAGAGAGAGAGAGAGAGAGAGAGTTAAATTTACCACACTTAAAGAATTGTTACAAGAGAATAATAAAGAGTTACAATAAAATAGTCTTACAATTTCGCAAAAATATTTTTATTTTGTACCAAAATATTTCTCAATCAGTCCAACTCTTAATATATAAATTAAATAAACCCAAAATATTTAAAATGTGTCTTAAAAAAATCTTACAATTCTTAGCTTTTGCAAAACTAAATTAATTTTGAAGTCAACCACCACTCATCTAAAACAATAAAGGATCCTTAAAGTGTTTCAAATTATTTCTCTTTTACAAACACACTATCAAACACTCAACACAACTGATATTTTTAAAGTGAAAATTGAGAATGGAGAAAAAGGAGAAAAAGAAACGACATGTCATAAAGTAAATGAAATCAAAATTATTTAGGATACAACAAATTAGCAATACATTAATCTAATCAAAACAAGTTGATGTTGACCTGTCTGTTTGTTATGTGCAAAATCAACCAGTCTGAAACATGGGATGGAGACTTTTGTCTCATAGTCAGCCATGTCTCTCACGAGAATCCTTCGTTTCTTGCTCCATTTCTTTATCATCCTCGTTGAATTGAAGCCAAAAACACATTGATTGTAATAAGGTACACGCATTGAATTGTATACTATAGGGTAATCATCCTAAACAAAATTTGGTTGTTAGAAGGTCAATTCAATTCCATTCCTAAGCTTTCTTTGGATTCCATTAACAACGTTGAAAAATGTTATTTCTTTTCATTTGAGGTGAAAACTTTTACTAATGTCAATGACATCATATTCTTGGGAGTTGGGACAATGTCTTCAAGTTTTAATGAAAAACTACTAACATTGTTTTTACTCTATATTGAAATGATTCTTTTGGGATGAGTTTTCTTTATATCATTTGAGACATATTGAACATTAAATATGATATTTTAATTAGGTTTAGGTTTGTGGAAAGTTTTTTCTGATTTTCCATCTAATGTACCTTTCCCATTTGTGAGAAGGTAATATCCTAGTCATTTTTGTGCTCACGTATTTTGGTTTCATCCAATTTATAATGAATTCATGTTTGTCGTATGTACCAAGCCTCTAACTCAATGGAGGGAGAGAAAAAATTGAGAGGAAGAAGAAAATTATAGACTTAAAATCTGACTCAATAATCAAAACATGTCTTTCTTATTTAACTTGAATTTTATAGATCAATTTCTCCTCTTTTTATTGCATAAAACATCACTCTAAAACATGAACATAAAAAATGTATAAAAAAATACCGACATTTGAAATGTAGACTCTCCCCAACACTGAAATTTGACATGAGACGAATATTGAGACACAACATAAAAACTTTGATATTGTTGATGTCAAAGAATGTTACATACACCAACATCACCACATATACAATATTTGACACTTTATAATTTAGTATAAATCAATATTTTAAAAATTAGATCGAAAATCGAACCGGTAAAACTTATAATTTAAAATTTAATTGATTAAATCGGTTAAACCTACGGTCGAAATATTTATTAAATAAACTAATAATATGAAACTAAATTTCATTACATATGTCACACATAATTAATGTCCACAACTTAATAAAATAAATATTTCAAAAATCTATTACAAATTTAATACAACAATATCGATAATACATAACATAATATAGTTCTACACTTCATTTCAACTATGGGTGAGAATAGGTCAGACCAACTAACAGGGGCCTACGACCTAACTTAAATAGGCACATGCTAAACTAGATTTTTTTTTTTTTAAATAAAAAAGGCCTAGACTTTTTTGTAAGCCTATTTAACTAAAGAGGATAAGCCACGTACCGTAAGAAAAACCTTTTAAGTCTATCATGCTGACCTATTTAAGTAAAATTCAATAAATTTATTATTATTATATTCTATTTTGTACTTTGAATTAAAATACGAAAATAAAACTGAGTTATCTTGAATAACTTATGAAAATAAGTTGAAAAAATATTATAAACAATTTCATAAGTTGTTGTCATAAGCTTTTTCATAAATTTTCTCCAACAAATAGTATCGTCAAACTTATGATAATAGGTAAACTTTAATGAGACAATGAAAACAAATATTTAATCTCATTGACCTTTTAATTTATTAGTCTATTTAACATTAGTTGAGTTTTTTATTTACAAATGTTCAAATGAAGTAGGCTTTTAAATAGGCTAGTAAGTCAATCAGACCTTCGAAAAGGTCAGACTCAGGCCTAAAAATAAGTCTATGATAAGCTAGAGGTCAAACTTAGACTTTAAAATTTTTTAGCCGGTCATGCCCAGGCTTGGCAAAACCTAACTCGGTCCAACCTATTCTCACCCCTAATTTCAACCATCATTTAAGAATATTTTGGCCAAACTAAGAAATTATAATAAAATAAACTAAAATAATTCAAACTAAAATTAAAATAATAAAATATAATAACTAAAATAAAGTCTAAATAATTAAGAATGCCTAAATTAAATAAAATAGAATAGCAAAATATAAATTATACAATATACTTCATTAAACAACAAAAAATTGAATTTAAGTTGAACTACGACAAACAAGTCTTAATTGACAACAATAAACAATATTGACTTGAACAACAATTAATATTGAGTTGGACATCGTGCCTATGTTCGAAAGAGACATCATGATGATGATGGAGTGTAGTTGAAAGAAAAACTATAATTGAGTGACAAAATTTATAAGTTTGTATGGTTGTAAAAAAACACATTGAATTCTTTTTTGTGATTAAGGAATGTATCTTAAGTCTTGATATTAACGTATTAACATTTTTTTTAAATTAAGAAAAGGTCAATTTAATGCATTTTTTTGAAACGGATGTCTTTACAAAATCGGCTTTAATTCTTTAGTTGAAGTGATTTTGAATGGTTGAATTTGATTTTTATTTTATTTTATTTTAATTTTGACCCACTAGCTATTTTAAAAAGTTGATGTATTCAAAATATGTATATGATGTATCAAAACAAATTTTTGTTTTGTTTAGAACATTTTTTAAATTGTCTACATGTATAAGTGCAGAATGTTTGATATATATTCAATTCTAAAATTAAAATCAATTCTTTTTTCCAACAACAAAACACACTCAAATCAAGTTTATAATCAAGAATCATTTATGAATGTTCAAAACCTATAACTATTTTCTACTACTAGTACTATCACTTTAACCAATTGGATTTCCTATAAAAAAAAGTCAAAAGAACAAAATTAATTAGGGTGGGCTAGAAAATAAAAAGTGAAACTAACCACCAATCAAGGGTTATGTTATGCCCTGTGCTATCCACCCAAAGGTGAAAACACAAACGCAATACAATGCACTTACAAAATCAATAAACTTTTAAACCTATACATCAACACAATTCTCTATACCTATCATAACCTATTTCACATAAATGTAACTTTTTCCCCTTTCCACCACATAAATAACCATAATAATATCCACTCTCAAACACACTCAAAAATGTCTTCACTCTGTATATTCCTCTTCCTCCTTTCTCTGACCTTCACCCTCACTTCATCTTCTTCAGAAGCTGAAACCCTACTTTCCTTCAAATCCACCATTCAAGACACCAAAAACACATTATCAACATGGTCCAGCACTTCCTCAAACCATTTCTGTAACTGGACTGGAATCTCATGTTCTTCAACTTCATCGCCATTTTCAGTAACTTCTGTTAACCTTCAAAACCTAAACCTTTCCGGTGATATCTCATCTTCTATATGTAGCCTCCCAAATCTCTATGATCTTAACCTTGCTAATAATGCATTTAACCAACCTATTCCACTTCATCTTTCTCAATGTAGTTCATTGAAAAGTTTGAATCTTAGTAATAATCTTATCTGGGGTACTGTCCCATCTCAGATTTCTCAGTTTGGTTCATTGTTAGTGCTTGATTTGAGTAGAAACCATATAGAAGGAAACATCCCTGATAGTTTTGGTTCGTTGAAAAATCTTCAAGTGCTTGATATGAGTACTAACTTGCTTTCTGGTGACGTGCCTAAGGTGTTTGGTAATTTGTCTAAGCTGGAAATTCTTGATTTGTCTTTGAATCCTGACTTGGTGAGTGAGATTCCTGAAGATATTGGGGAGCTTGGGAATCTGAAGCAACTTCTTTTGCAGAGTTCGGCTTTTCAAGGTGAAATTCCTGAGTCATTGAAGGGTTTGGTTAGTTTAACTCATTTAGATCTCTCTGAGAATAATCTTACTGGTGAAGTTCCAAAGAGTGTTGTGTCTTCTCTTAAGAACATTGTTTCTTTTGATGTTTCACAGAACAAGCTTTTAGGTTTGTTTCCAGATGGTTTGTGTAAAGGAGGAAAAGGGCTTATAAGTTTAAGTCTTCATACAAATGGGTTTACTGGGTTGATACCAAACTCAACTAGTGAATGTGAGAGTCTTGAGAGATTTCAAGTTCAGAACAATGGTTTCTCTGGTGATTTTCCTGTTGTGTTGTTTTCACTTCCTAAGATTAAGCTCATTAGAGGTGAAAACAATAGGTTTACAGGACAAATACCTGAGTTGATCTCAGAAGCTTCTCAGTTAGAGCAAGTTCAGCTTGATAATAACCTTTTTGATGGTGAAATTCCTTCGGGTATTGGGTTAGTTAAAAGCTTATACAGATTTTCTGCTTCTTTAAATCATTTCTATGGTGAAATTCCTCCTAATTTTTGTGATTCACCAGTTATGAGTATCATGAATCTCTCTCACAATTCTCTTTCTGGTCATATCCCTCCGCTGAAAAAATGCAGGAAGTTAGTTTCACTCTCTTTAGCTGATAACAGTTTAACCGGGGAAATTCCTAATTCTCTAGCTGAACTACCTGTGCTTACTTACCTTGATCTCTCAGATAACAATCTCACTGGTTCAATTCCACAAGGTCTTCAAAACTTGAAGCTTGCACTTTTCAACGTTTCCTATAATCAGTTATCTGGAAAAGTACCATTCTCGTTGATTTCCGGTCTTCCTGCATCATTTTTGGAAGGAAATTCTGGTCTATGTGGTCCTGGACTGCCGAATTCATGTTCTGATGATGACAAGCCAAGACACCATGTTGCTTCTGGTTTTACAACCTTGGTGTGTGCTTTAATCTCTCTAGCCTTTGTTGCTGGAATTTCTCTTGTTGCTGGTGGATTTATATTGTATAGGAGATCTAACAAAGGGAATGAAGGTTCGGTATGGCGCTCGGTGTTCTTCTATCCTCTCAGAATTACTGAGCATGATCTTCTTGTAGGGATGAATGAGAAAAGCTCAATAGGAAATGGAATTTTCGGTAATGTTTATGTTGTGAGTTTACCTAGTGGTGATTTAGTATCTGTGAAGAAGTTGGTTAAATTTGGAAACCAGTCTTCAAAGAGTTTAAAAGTTGAGGTTAAAACTTTAGCTAAAATTAGACACAAGAATGTTGTTAAGATTCTTGGGTTCTGTCATTCTGATGAGTCAGTTTTTCTCATCTACGAATACTTGCATGGTGGAAGCTTAGGGGACTTGATTTGTAGTCAGAATTTTCAGTTGCATTGGGGAATTAGATTGAAGATTGCTATCGGAGTTGCTCAAGGACTCGCATATCTTCACAAGGATTATGTTCCACACTTGGTTCATAGAAATGTCAAGTCAAAAAACATTCTGTTGGATGTTAACTTCGAGCCAAAACTTACTCATTTTGCTCTTGATAGGATTGTTGGAGAAGCTGCATTTCAATCAATTTTGGATTCTGAAGCCACATCTTCATGTTACATTGCTCCAGGTATGAGAAGTTATTTTCAACTCAACCAAACAATAGCTTTTTATCATATTAACTAACATAGTAATTGGATTGTTGCATTGCAGAATATGGATACAATAAGAAAGCAAGTGAACAATTTGATGTGTATAGCTTTGGTGTTGTATTGCTAGAGCTAATTTGTGGAAGACAAGCTGAGAAAACAGATTCAAGTGATGACTCTTCACTTGACATAGTGAAATGGGTTAGAAGAAAAGTGAACATTACTAATGGGGTGAACCAAGTTCTTGACACTAGAATATCACATTCTTGTCACCAAGAAATGGTTGGTGCTTTAGATATTGCTCTAAGCTGCACTTCTGTGGTACCTGAGAAAAGGCCATCAATGTTGGAAGTTGTTAGAGGTCTTCAGTCTCTTGAGTCAAGGACTTGTATTGCAAATTTGCAGGGTCCAAGTGATGAACCCTCTGTTCCTGTTTGAAACTCAAAGACTGTTTGATTTTTAATATTTTTTTTGGAGTTTTTGTATGTAAATTTTCAGCTTTATATTTTTCTTCTCTTTCTTTTTCATTTTGATGATTTGAGATATAGAACTTATGCAACTTTTTTTGCTTTTCATAATATTAAGAGAGTTGGCAACAAGACTTTCATTTAAGAACTAGTTTGTTAACCCATGAATGGGGAGATAAATCATATTAACCCGTTTTATAATGTAAATATAATTTTAAAAGATCAACTTTATTTATGTAGTTTTCAAAAAAGATACAGTACATAAGTTAAAAATTTAACATTTAGTAAATTTAATAGTTATATTATCATCACTTAATACATATAAACCATATCTCCTTACATTTCAAATAAAAACAACAAAGAAAAAGCTAACATATGTTCTAAAAACGCAAGTTAAAAGTTATTCATCAACATTTCAATACTCTTAAATTTAATTGAGTACAGATACTTTCAATTAATCAAACATTATAATTCAGTATCACGGTTTTATTTTATTTTATTTATTTTTTAATTAAATTTAAATTTCAATATAATTTATACTAAAAATACTGATATAATACCAAAGAATTTATCTTAATTATTTTATTGCTTTTATTAACATAAATTTTCTATTTGTGATTTCTTAACTTATGCAATTAAAATAGCATATTACTCTTTAAAAAACTATAATTTAATCCATAGCAATTTTTGCATCAATTTAAAAACTCCTATAGGCCAATAATATAATGATGCAAGAGAATTCTTTATTACACTGTATATTTCTAACGCACTATATGAATTTTTACATATGACTTTAGATTCTGGAGATATATTTTCAAAAACACATTTTTCATACTCAACCAAGACCATTTGATATATTGGGTTAGATTTATTCTGGAGATATATCTCTGAAATGTTTTAAGAAAAATATTTCAAGTATTCAGTTCAATGGATATTACGGAGATATATCTCTGGAATTATTTATAGAAAACATTTCAATTGTTCAGTTTAATAGATATTTCGGAGATGCGTCTCCGAAATTATAGACGACATTTTGAAATTTCCTATCACTTTTACATATCAAGTATTTTTGGAGATGCATCCGCGGAAATGATTGATATAACTTTCAGCTGCATGATCAGTCCTCTATTATTGTCATACTTCATTCTCAACTAAACCCTCACACTACAAACTTTTCATTCTCAATCCATTTTTTCACTTCGAATCTCCATCCTTTTGGTTCAACATATCACAGGGAGTAAAAGAATAGAATTTCAAGTAAAGATTGTTATTTTTCCTCTACACTGCTCACATTAATCAACAGTTTTTTTTTTAAAAAACTCACGTTGTATCCGGAAATGTATCTCCGGAACGTGTATGAACTTGTCCCGAGATGCATTTCTGAAAAGTGTCAGTGTTCATTTTTCAGTCATTCTGCAGGAGTACTTAAACTAATGTTGTGCTATTGTTTTTATTATTTTTAATAGATATGGTGCACCCTGATATTTTCTCAAAACAAGTTGTTTCTCCGAACCTTGTTTCTTCGAATGTTCAAGGGAATGTTGTGAAGGCGGTAGATGTTGGCAACGACTTTAAAAATAAGCAAGAGTTTGAATCTCGTGATCAAATGCTTGAATGGATTCATATGGAGCCCTCTAAACTTGGATTTGGTGTGGTTATCAGAAGGTCCAATAATGGTTTGGATAGAAGATGCACCTTTGTGACAATTTGTGCGAGAGAAGTGGGAAATATCGAACTCCTCTTTGGAAGTTTAAAAGAGATGACACGCATAGTAGAAAATACGAGTGTCCGTTCAAGGTTCATGGTTACATGTTGGCAAATAAAAATTGGAGATTTAATGTGATATGTGGTTTGCATAACCATGATTTATGTTTAAAATTATCCGGCCATCCTAGTGTTTGTTGGATCAAGCCGGAAGAGAAGGAATGTATTAGTGACATGATCTTGAATCTTATTCAATGGAAAAATATTCTTGCAACATTGAAACGGAAGTGACCCAACAATATATCAAATATCAAGAAAGTGTATAACATTCGGTACCTCACTAACAAGACGATTATGGGGATAAAATTGAGATAGAACAACTCTTGAAACTATTGGATGATAACAGTTACGTGTCTCAGTATCAAACATGCGATGATCGAGTTACGGTTAGAGATATTTTTTGGACCCATTCTGATTTCATAAAGTTGTTCAACATGTTTCTTACCGTGCTTATACTTGATTCAACCTACAAGACCAACAAGTATAGACTTTCATTATTTGAGATGGTTGGTGTTACCTCAACTAAGAAGACATATTATGTTGGTTTTACATTTTTTGAGTGTGAAAAGAGGATAGTTTTACTTGGGCATTAGAGGTGTTTCGGTCACTTTTGAAGGTATAATGTGAGATGCCTAAAGCGATTGCTACCGACCGCGATACAACATTGATGAATTTGGTTGCAAGGGTATTTCCTTTTTCTAATGCATTACTTTCTAAGTATCACATAATAAAGAATGTGAAAAGTCATGTTAAACTCGTGGTAGGGACGAAACAAATAGAGTCTGAAAGTGGAAAATTGGTGAAGGTGGGTGTGATTGTGGAAAAAATTATGGATGCATGGAATCGTATAATAAATTCTTCCACAAAAGAACTATATGCCAATTTCGTTATTCATTTTCGAAAAATGTGTGAAAAGTATCCAGAATTGTTGTAGTATGTTGAAACCACAGTTCTTGATCAGGTGAAGGAGGAGATAGTTTGAGCGTAGACTGATAATGTTAGACACCTTGAAAATACAATTACTAACAAAGTTGAGTTGGCCCATGCTACTTTGAAAAATTGGTTGGTAAATAGTAAAGGGGATTTGCGTAGAAGTTAGGACTCCGTGAACCACATGATTTAAAACTAGCATAATGAGATACAAACAAAATTTGGTCAGAGCATCATGGTTTTGTAACACTGATTTAAAAACAACACTATATATTCTCAGTTGGTCGGTAACATTTCTCAGGTGGGTTTGAACTATATTTTTCACGAGGCTAAGCAAGTAGTAGGCTTCAATATCGCAAAGTGTGGTTGCACTATTGTGAAAACATATGGTATCCCATGTGTTTTTACTATTGCTAAAAAGGTGAAACTTGGTGAACCAATAAGAATGGACGAGGTTTGCTCTTATTGGAAGAGACATATGTTCAATGGAGATGGATGCATGGATGACGGGAAATAGAATATCTTTATTTTGATCGAATGGGAAGTGATATAAGAGAGATTTTTGAAGGCCGATGACAGCATGAAACTCCACATCAAAGAACAATTGAGGAAGATTGCCTATCCCGAAACAACCAACATGAAACCGCCTTCTCAACTGGTAAAAACAAAAGGTGCTCCAAAGAAAATGAAGCCTACACCGGATGACAACTCAACTACACGGTCTCCTTCATATTTTAAACATGTTGACAAACCTTTTTCGACTCACCAACTCTAAAATATCAAAAAAGTGTTGTGAAAAGAGCCTGCATTAGCAAACCACCTCCGACGTTGCTTCCACCGAAGATTCCATTCATCGACAAGATGTTAGTTTTTATACATAAATATATCGAGTGAATCGTCAATATTATGGGGGTGGTAATTGCGGTTATCGACCAGTGTCTCAGTAAAGGAGAAGATAGTCATGCACTTGTCCGACATCAACTTATCCAAGAGTTGAAGACACATAAAGAATCGTACATGAGGTTGTACGAAAGTAAAGAAAAATTCAATGCGGTTTATGAGTCTCTTGTTTCTTGCTTGAGCGATCCGACATCAAAGGCAAAATGTATGAGCTTCCCGAAAATGGGTCTCCTAATAGCATGTGCATACGGTAGAGTGTGCATTAACCTAACACGCTACATTTTTTCAAAAAAAATTTCCCACTGTGCACCACCCTACCCGAATATCCAAATGATTGTATCATGTGTATTGGATGGATTTCAAAATCTAGTCATTTTGTTCAAGTTTACTTGAAATTGGGATTTGCCATACCACTCACATCATCGGAATGGATGGCTCATTCAACTGCAAAAGCCGAGACGTGGTCATATCATTTTATGGAAAGGATGCAAGAATTGAAGAGGCTGAACAACATTGAAAAAGAATCGAATGCACAAAAGTTAAAAGGGGTACCACCTATAGATTTAGCCAGCGACATGTGTTTCAATTTGTTTTAATTTCTTGTTTAACTGGACAAATAATTGTATGTAATTGTGTCTCTATATAAATGAAGTGTTATATATTCATCTTTTGTATTTATGCAATTTTTATCTACCCCATAACAACATGTGTGTTTTTGGTCAATACAAAAAAAAGGTTATGTTTGTGTTCTGTTTTGAAACTGGTCCAGGAGAAGTTCTGGAGATGCATCTCCGAAAAAAGATAATAGGGTGTGTTTCTAGAGATATATCTCCAGAATCAATGTGTCACTTGATGAGTGGTTCAAATTGATCTTTGTCTTCTATAAATTTAGGTGCTCTAGTTCTATATTTCACACAAATTCAAAATGTCTCAAATGTCACAAATAAAAATCGATTGGTATGTCGCAAATGTGGCCTTCTCCGACTCTACACCCGGGCGAACAATTAAGCTCAACTAATTCGCCCCCTTTGAATATATCAAAGAAGAAATCCACGATCTCCTACCTTACAGAGACAATTAAAATATTGTGATGCTCGAGTAGCATTCACCTTTGATTGATAATAGAAGGAAGCTTTAGTTCACCAAGTTTGAGCTTAAGACGCAAGCAGATGTTAGGGCTGTATGGGATACGTTTTTCGATTTTGATGAGAAAGTTCCGCTCGAGTTGGAAGCAACGATATAAAGATTGCTTGAAGATATCCTGAAGATGTGCAAGCGTCCACTGAGATATTGAAATGTAATATTGAATTTTCCGTTGAAATCATCAATGTAATGATAATTTTATGTTATGAATTTCAATTTAATTTTGGATCTGTT